GAAATCGTTTTGCAGTGATTTTTGCTGCACAGATTAACATCGCTATGCAAGGCACCACTGTATATTCTTCCTTCCTTCCAAAGCCCAACAATACTTAGTAGCAGACAGACAGAGTGATACCACTGTATATCCTTCCTTCCTTCCTTCCTTCCTTCCTTCCTAAGCCCAACTATACTTAGTAGCAGACAGACAGAGTGGCAGACTAATTCTCCAGAGGCTTGGGTTCAAGTTCCTCCTCAGCCATGGGAACTCACTGGCGAGCGGCAATGATAAAATCCCTCTGTAAGTAAATCTCACTTACCTTGAAAGCCCTACTTGGGTCTTTATAAGTCAGTTCCAACTTGATGGCCCATAACACAGGGACTGAGACAGGAAGTTTCAGGTGATGCCACAAAACCTTAATATACAACCTCAAACACATATATTGCAAAAAAAAAACCCCTTCAAGTATTCAGTGTGCGGAATACAACACAATGGAGAGGAAGATGGATGTAAAGACTACGAAGCATAAGAAAATTCAAGGCCAATTGATAGATGATAAATACATTCTAATAGTCCTGTAAGCAAGGATGGCCAGTGATGATTCTGGGAGGTACTGTTATAATATACTCTTAGAACAGCAGAGCTGGAAGGGACCCTCTGGATCATCCAATCCAGAGGTCCATGGGGGGAATTGAACTCCCAATCTCAGGTTCTGCCACCAGATGCCTAAACCACTGAGATATTCAGCAATTATACTCTTTAGACCAGTCGTTCTCAACACTGGGTCCCTGCCCAACCCTCCAAATGTCTGGGGAAAACCACACCTCCCATCAGCCCCAGCCAACACAGCTCATACTAGGGGATGATAGGGTTTGTAGTCCAAAAACTTCTGGAGGTTTCCTATTCTTGCCTCACAGAAGGAAACATCAGATTAAGGAAGAGCGATTTCTATCAGGATATGATGCAGGAAAGAGGCTTTGAAGTTTCCTCTCTGGTTCTGGGGCTCTGGGGAATCACTTATGCTGAGACGCGATGGTCTTGTGCCTACCAAGGTTGGTTTACTCTAGGGCTGTGCACTGGATTCACTAAACCCAAACTTAATTGAAACTGGTCCGGCTTGGACTAGCTTGTACAGAATCGGGACTGAAACAACATTCGGTTCTGGGGCAAAGTGAAGTCAATTTGTAAACTGGTCTCGATTTGGAGCACAGATCAGATTAGATGGGTTACAAATGGGTACAACGTACTAGTTTCTTTTTAAAGCAAACTTTCACAGTGCCTAGTACAAAAATCCTCAAGGATGTGCCAGGTTCGTTTCCCCCTTTAAGATCTATCTTGTCTCCAAATTTCATAGAGCAGTCCAAAAACAAACATTTACAAACTGATTCCACCTCTGGATTGGTTCAGAAGGAGCATGAACCACTCCGGACTGAACATGGGATGCATTCCCAAGCCCTGAATTGCCCTCCAAGCCAAATTGGGGGGGGGGGTCCATGAGCAGCCCTCATTTACTAACTCCAAAAAAATGGGCTTATCGAAAGACAAGGAGCCTAAGCATTTGAGGCTTGTGTCAGAAGTGGAAGGCATGAACATACCTAGGGCCAGCCCTGTCATTAGGCGGAAGAAAGACATTCCGTTGGGTGATGTATTCTGCAGGGCAGCCCCTACTGCCCGCCCCCACTATTCTTCATAACCCCCTTGCTAAACTCTTAGAATTCAGAATGCAGATTCTACCTCGCCTGCCTTATACCTGCTAAACAACCTGACTGTCCTCACTGGGCAATGGAAAATGCTGGGGTTTTTTGCAACCTCGCATGTTGCCTTTAGTAGGTTTGGCTGGGAGGAACCCGTCTGGGCTGGGGTGACTGTCAATCTGTCCAGCACTAACCAATCATTTCTTCCCTGCCTCTGAGTTCTAAGAAAGCCACGCCTCTTTCTTTTGTGTCTTTTTCCCCCCTCTGTTGGAAGCAGTCAGTAGCTGTGACTGTAAGTGCCAGTTAAGGAGAAAAAAGGGGGTGGAGTAAAATCTGGAATCCCTGCACGTCTGCTGCACAGCCATTGGAAATTAGCAACACAAAATTAGCAACACAAAACACTCAGAACTTCGAAAAATCCAATTTTGGATTACAACTCCCAGATTCCTCAACCACGAGGACTGCTGGGGGATTCTGGGAATTTTACCACCACCCCCCTCAAAAAAAAAGGGAACTGTCCAAACACTGAAGACAGTGCCCGGTTGCCAGCGATGAAATAAGATTCAGCGAGTATCCCAATTTGTTTTTTTGCCTCTGGAAGCAAAGTGTCTTTGGTTGGTCCTAGACGTTTTGCAACTTCGTGCCAGAAACCCATTGTGTTTTCCTGAGTTGTCACCCGTGGTTACCACTGATCTCAAAAATACAGCCCTATTCCCCTTGCCAACGCACGCCCACACTTTTTTTTTAAAAGGGGGTGGCGGACAGCAAAATATTCTGTTGTTATCAAATACTGGAAGTATTCTGTTGCTGCCAGATGCAGGATGTCAATTCAGCAGCTGACAGAGCGTGGAGGGCCAGCGTTTTACAGCTGTTGCAGCGGAGTGAAAGACCACCTTTGTTTCTGGAAATCTTAGAAACAGTTCCTTTTTCCCCCCCTTTCTTTAATGCAACAGCAAGGAGAAGCCAGCTGCCACCTCGCAATGCACAACACATTGTTGGAAAAGAAAATGCAAAACAAGGTTGAGATGCATCACTTATTGACTCCAGCAGAACTTCCTCCATGTAAACGGAGCTGCTGTGGAGTCAAAGGGTGGGGTGCTGCAGCCTCCGTTTGTACGAGAAATTCGTTATGCCTGCCCATAAAATGTAAAATTGAAACACAAGTTGCACTGGTTCTTTTTTTTAATAGAACACTCTGCTGCTGCTTCCATTTACAATGTAAATGACAAGTGTACAAATCTAGAGGTTGGAACACAATGATGAAAAAGGATTACCTTCCTTCCATGCAAGCCGTCATCTCAACAAATAAAAAGCACTGAACAAATATATATTACACTTCTCCCTGGAATTGCATGAGTCTGAACAGCACAGATTTGGTCATCCATCCATCCATCAACTAACCCACCCACCTATCGAGTAACCCACTCACTCACCCACCCACCCATCCATCCATCGACTAACCCACTCACCCCCCCACCCATCCCTCCATTCATTGACTACCCATCCATCCATCCATCCATCCATCCATCCATCCATCCATCCATCCATCCATCCATCCATCCATCCATCTATTGACTAACTAATCCATCCATCCATCCATCCATCTTCAGTAAATAAATATTCAATAAATATAGTGCTCCTGGCCACCAAGAACCCCATAATTTCAACACTGAAGACATCAAATTGGTCTACTTGCCCCCAAATACAACATATCTAATTCAGGCTCTAGATCAGGGGGTCATAAGGACAATTAAATCTCATTACACACAGTACTTGATGGAAAGGATAATCAGTGCTATGAAAGAGAACGCTGATAGAGAACTATTCTCTCTCTCTCTCTCTCTCTCTCTCTCTCTCTGTGTGTGTGTGTGTGTGTGTGTGTGTGTGTGCGTGTGCACGTTAACCAACTGTTTATGCTTTGCAGTTCTGTTTGCGAGGGAGGAGGGCAAAGAGTTATTATATACGGATTTTGAACAATATGAAGGTCTAGCATCTCTAACCCCAGTGTTGTTGAAAGAAGTGTAATTTATACAGTACATTCCTTTGTTAGTGCTTAAAGGATAGCTCTTTTAAAGAGTTTATAACCCCAGTGTTGTTGAAAGGAGAAGTGTAATTTATACAGTACATTCTTTGGTAGTGTTTACATTTTAAGTATAGCTCTTTTAAAGAGTTTCAAAACTGTTCCACAAGTATTCAGAGAGGAAACAAGTGAGACTCCATAAAGACTAGCCAATCAGTGCTGTACCTAGTCGGTTTGGCTTGCAAACTGGCACAGCTGAATTTTCCTCAGTCCAGTTTAGGGGGTTGCAGCCTAAAGTAGCATTTCCTACCTCTGAATCTATTCTATGATGCCTGGGTGGCTTCCAGAAAAACTTCTTATTGTGCAATTGCTGTATCTAATTCATGGAGTTTTAGAGGCAGTCAGGCATCACTGTCCTAACCTGCCAACTTCTTTATAGCTTCATATGTGGTGGTGCTGCAGGCTAAACTACAGAAGCCTCTGTGCTGCAAGGTCAGAAGACCAGCAGTCGTAAGATTGAATCCACACGATGGAGCGAGCTCCTGTCGCTTGTCCCAGCTCCTGCCAACCTATCAGTTCGAAAGCATATAAAAATGTGAGTAGATAAATAGGTACCACCTCGGTGGGAAGGTCACAGCATTCCGTGTCTAGTTGTGCTGGCCACGTGACCACGGAAACTTTCGGAAAAACACTGGCTCTGCGACGTGGAAACAGGGATGAGAGTCGGACATGATTGGACTAAATGTCAAGTGGAATCTTTACCTTTATCCTATGGCTTTTTAATTTTCTGTTTTAAAAAAATGCCCAGGAGGAAAAGACAGAAGAGGCACAATGTCTGGATAGACCATAAGGGAACATATTATCTGGAAGGACCCCTAAGTGTAGCTGGACATGAGAATTCAAGGGTGGTTTGGGCCATTAATGACTACTAGCCCAGATGGCTATATGCCACCATAGTATCAGAACATACCCGTTTTTAGGGACTGTGAGGCCGGGGTGTAATTGTCCTCATGTCCTGCTAGTGAGCTTCTCATAGGCAACAACTGGTGGGTCACAAGGAGGACAGAATGTTGGGCTTTCAGTAGGTCTTGGACCTGATCCGCTATGCGCTTCTTGTCAAGATCGAAAGAAGCTCAGAAGAGGCATGGGTCAAAATGAGTCAAAGACTGCTAGGAACAGAGAGAACGGATCTTCTCTGCAGTGTGGTGGATCTGTTCCCATGTGCATTTCCCCGACGCCAGCCAGACATTCTGCTCGCCATGGTTAGTGGGAGCCCAGAGCAAAATCAAGGAATGATCTCATACCTTCTCTCATTGTCATCCAGGTGAGCAAAGAGCACATTCTTGGAGATGGCCTTGGCCAGGGCAGTCATTGTTTTATAGTCCTTGGGAATCACCTGAACATCGAAATAAAAAAGGAGAGGAAGAAGAGGGGCAGAGTGTCATCTAGGTTCAACCAAATGCCTCACCATGGCGGGGACTGCTCTTCAGTTAGAAGTCCCAAATATTACTTGTTTGGGATGACAACCCCCCAGGATTGGAAACTATTAATAAAATACAGTGGTGCCTCGCTTAACGTTAATTCGTTTCAGCGAAATCGCTGTAGAGCGAAAACGTCGTAAAGCGATATTAAAAAGCCCATTGAAATGCATTGAAAACCACTCAATGCATTCCAATGGGCTGAAAACTCACCATCCAGCAAAGATCCTCCATAGGGGCGGCCATTTTTGCTGCCTGTAAAGCGAGGAATCCATCCAAAAACACAGCGGGGAGCCATTTTAAGCAGCCAGTGGCCATTTTGAAACCCAACGATCAGCTGTTTGCTGATCATTGTAAAGCGAAAATCGGTTCCCAAAGCAGGGAACCGATAATCGTTAAACGTAAAAAAAAACCATTTAAAACATCGTTTTGTGATCGCAAAAGCGATCGCAAAAACCTAATCGTACAGTGATTTCGTCATAGAGCGGGGCAATCGTTAAGCAAGACATCACTGTATTGTTTTCCAAGTTCTGAGGTCAGAAGCAGTGGTGAGAGATAGTGGTGTACTGTCATGTCTAGAGCAGAGCTCAAAAGTAACTGGTTAAGTTTGGGAGTAATGAGAGTACAACTAAGTCATATTAAAATATATAATAAATAGTTATAAAGTTACTTTTTGAGATTGCTAGTAACATTTGCCAATTACTTTCAAAACCACTTTTAATGGCATTTTAGGGCATTTTAAAAGGAATTTTTCAAGCTTTAATCTATTTCTTTATCAAGCCTAAGTAGCAGGGAGCATTGTTTGTTTCCCATATTTTTGTATTTAGAAGGTGCAATATCAGAAGCGGGCACTAGGGGGAATTATGAGTATTTCTCTCTATTTCTGCCCCACATTGACTACTTAACAGTGCACAAATTATTTCTAGGATTGGAGCAATAATAATGATCCTTCACCACCCCTAAGAAACAAATAAAACAAATCTCTTTTTTAAGCCAGCATTCTGATCTCAGAAGTAGATTATCAGCAAAATCTTTCTCCTAGTCATCACACCTTTGATACACAGTTTTTTCACAACTGTCAGGCTGCTGAGAAAGGGGATTTAAAGGCTGGATGCTGTGCTCTCTTTACACTGCTATCCTTTTAGACAAGCATTAATTCAGTCGTGTTTTAATACACTTTGAGCTAACGTTATTAATTTTTATTGCAACAGAATGATGTGTCTACCTCTGACCTTAAAATCTGCAAATATGATGATGGTTAGCTACTTTCTGTGGATCTAAGTGTAACCGATTACTTTTCCAAAGTAACTTTCTAAGCTCTGGGTTCAACTACAGCCCCAGTATTTCTGGATTTCCAGCAGAGGGACACTTCAATTTTTTGAATCTGTACAGCTGCCTATTTATACACTTGAAAGAAAATTGTATTGTATCACACCTATATCAATTGATCACTTGTAGTATGGACGTGATGCAGTCCCTTACCTTCCTAACGTAAGAAACTGCATCTTCTTCGGTGTAAACTTCTGCACTGACACCCCCTCTTCGGTGTCGCGCCTTGACCACCGGGTTCGGAGGCGGAGGAGAAATTTCGTCATCGTGGGAATCTGACTGTGAGTTGGATTTCTGCCAGGCCAAGATCTGTTTGCATTCTTCCTGCAAGAAACAGCGAAAAAGCAAGGCTCAGACAAAGAGCTGGCTAGACAGCTCAGAGGTTTCGGTCTCTGGCTGGAGAGCCAGAAGTTGGGAGTTCGATTCCCCCATGGGCCCTTCTGGGAGAAGAGCCAGCCTGGGTGGCCTTGGGCCAGCTGCACACTCCTAGGGCTCCCCCTAGAGGAAGGGAAGGGTAAAACACTTCTGAGTACTCCACTCCTAGAAACCAACAAAAAAAGATTGACATAAGCCAGAGTCAACTTGACAGCACACAATTATTACTATTACCAGGATGCATGGATGGGCAGACAAACTGGGAGGCAGGGAGAGAGAGAGCGAGAGAGCACTTTTTTCTAAGAGCAGATTACAAGGCTAGAATCACCCATAATAATAAATGTTTATTACGGTCATTGACCAGCAAAAGTAAGATACATTTTTTTAAAATTAGGAGACATAAAAACAATATAAAAGTATTAAAAACACTAAAAACACCAAAGCACTAAAAGCATCTATATATATACATCTTACTAGATATCTCCTACCTCCCTATCATAGGCCTTATCTATGGGCTATTACAGCTTGCATAGAATGCCAAATTTGTTATTTTAAAGCTCATATAGCCCGTGTGATCATTAATTGGTATACACCAATTTACAGATTCTATAGCTGCGCTTTAGGTGGAACCTTTCCTTCACGGATTTTTATTGCAGCAGCACAGAACTTAGCAACTTTTGTCAGCATATCTGAATTAAGCCCAATATATCTGCCAGGGCATCGCCCTGTCAGCAAAAGCTGTGTGTAGTGTGCCTCTGATCGTCCAGGAAATGCCCTTATGTAAGGGTCAACATGGACTTCTCGAATGT